TCTTGTTGCTAAAAAATACATGGAAGTTCAATGATGCTTGATTTGGCTATTGCCATGACGATTAGTTTTATCTATTTCAGAGTATCTGTACAGTATATTTCACTTTATGGGTCACCTTTTTGTAGCATTGATTTCTCATCGATGTCAGCCTGAAATTCCTATGGTCATAGCATATATTTACATGTTTACTGGAAAATGTCCCCTTCTTTTGCATACAGTGATGAATGAAAAGTCACAAAATAACTAAATAAGAGTAATCATGTACATGAACTGCAGACATTGTGCTGATAATTGTTTCAACTTTTATACACTCAAAAGCTTTCATGTTCGGTAGTGATTAATTGCAGCCATTCTGGCTGCAGCTGCAAGCCAATTGTACTACCATCTACATGTTTTGCTTGTGGAAATGTAGGGGTGTGTGTTAAGTTATTGGAGCCCGCTGTTTCTTTTGCATTTAGCTGATAGCTAAATAATAAAAGCCACTTGTTTTGCACTTGCATCTAGTGCTTCTACTTGGACGAGAGGCGTGGGCTGATTTTCGTGCTGGTGATGGTGGTTATGCTGCCTGTTACATACTGTTGTAGCAAATGTATGGTTTAATGAAATTTTCACTTCTGATTTTTTCGATTTGGCCATATTGCTCAATGGAAAGAACTCTTCTATTGTTCCTAAAACTGCTCACCAGTCAGTAAATTAAAAAAATCAGGCAGCAGATTGCATAGGAACTTCTGGATATCCATACCCATCTGGTCTCTGGCTCCTAGGGGCTCTTGTCGCTGCATCAACACAGGAAGGAATTCAGTGCCGCTCACGAGAAATTTTGCAAGCTTAGGGCCATATGTTCCGCCTCAAGGCAGGCAGGAGGTCGATGCCGCTAACTGATTTTAGATGTCTTAATTATTTTTTTGAGCAAGAATGAGGGAGCGTTGTATAAGGAATCTGAGCGTCCTGATGCACTATATAGTGTTTTGTATCCATACTATGCAAACATTCTATGAAAACAAAAGGTATTATGTATGAATCACTAAGATGTGAATATTCTGTTAGTCCTGATATTTGCATTTAAACAAATAAATTTGATTCAAGTTTCTTACTTCGAAAGAATATATTTGACATGTAGTTACTTGCATATGTTTATATTTTTTATTATGGTATATGCACCATCCATTTTAGGCGGATGAGCATTATAGGGATCATGGGAACTTGTGTTGCCAAGAAATCATTTCTCTCGTTCCAATAATAATGATGTTAGAAACAAATGTAGCATTAACATTTTTAATTCATTGTAAGTCCATAGAAGATATAAATTCTATGGCCTGTAACTATAGCATATTATTTTTTTTCTTTTCTCACACAACTATCACGAGTACTTTCAATGTAGCATGGCTGACAAGATAGATATTGTTAAAGGGAAGTCTTGAGCGGACGGTATAACACCCGTTGTAACAACGCACGGGTACGATCCTAGCTAGGATAATGTTAGGATAATGCTTTTAGATTAATTTGGTCTAGCTATGACACTTTGTATTTTGGATTAAATGACATTTTAACGTTGGTATTTAATTTTTACAGTATTATCTTATCTTGTGATCCGTGTGTTTTTAGTACAAATTATTAGCTATCCCGTAGCAATGCACGAGTACGCTAGTGAATAAAAACTAGCAGGTTGCAATATTTGGGCTCTGTGCCTATACTGACTCAACGACTTCCGTCCACTGCAATTGTGTTCATGTTCTCCTGATATATCTGTCTATCTCTATGTTTATATCTATATCTATATACACTAAAAAATACGCAGAGGTATCGTCGTATTGCCCCGCTCTGCTCAGCTCGTTCCCAGATTTTTTTTGACTCGCTCCTCCAAATCAGAAGCGGATATCAAATCAAATCAAATTAAATCGTTCTAAATCCGAATTGGAAAAAAAATCAAACCAAATCAAATGAAATTGGAAAAAAATACAAGTCCTCCAAATCAGAATTGGATATCAAATCAAATAAATCATTCTAAATCCGAATCAGAAAAAATAAAATATCAAACCAAATCAAATGAAATCAGGAAAAAAATACAAGTCAAATACGTAGGGTATCGTTGTACCGTCCCGCCCTGCTCAGCTCGCCTCCGGATTTTTTTGCCTTGCTTGTCGAAATCAGACTCGGATATCAAATCAAATTAAATTGTTCTAAATCCGAATCAGAAAAAAGAAAATATCAAACCAAATAAAATGAAATCGAAAAAATACAAGTCAACGTTGGTGTTTGGCACGCGGTGCCGAGGAGGCTGAGGTCTCTGCTCGATGCGAACAACGGCCTGTTGCTGCAGCTAAACTCGAACTCGACCTCGCGTCGCCTGCGCGAGGGCTCGTGGGGCAAAAAAATACACCCCTGTAGGACTGAGGGAACCCGTGCAGTACCGGATGCGGATCTGAGTTAGGCAGCAACAGAGAGAGGGGCGTGAGCCGACGTCGCTGCTGACGGTCATTAACACCTGTTTTGACCATCAACATTCCACCAAAAAGCATGATAAAGTGAGGTAAAACATTATCACATGTGTTGCGTTTTGTTTATAATTTATCTAGTTCCACTTGTGCTTGTAGAATTATTTGTATGCTGAAAATTATAGCAAAAATGGCCCAAAATGCGACAAATATGAACATAGGGAGCAAGTGGACGTGGCAGGCGGGCCACGCCGGTCGGCCCCACAAGGGTGTCGCCCAGGGTGCCAGGTGGCCTGGCCACGTCACCGATTCGTTGGGAGGTCCTCCAAGCCTTCTCCAGTGTCGATCTCAAGTCGTGGGAGAGGTCCTCCAAGCCTTCTCCAGCGTCGATCTCAAGTCGGTTTGCACCAAGGGTCAGGATTGAGTGGTCTTAGATCCATGGGTCCACTGTCATGGACTTGGAGCCCTCCAACCGACCTTGGAATCGCCTTACCTGCCAAATCTTCGCACGTGCCATTAAGACAACCGCATTTGGGAGCCAACCAAGGCCCTACGATCGAAAGGCGGCGCAATCCTACGCCGGCCGGCGCCCCTACCCCGCCGCCCGCCACCCAAGTTTGCTCCACCAACCTTCTACACCCTCTATAAGTACCCCCACTGCCTCTCCACACTATAAAAGGGGCAGTGGTGCTCGGTGGAGAAGGGCACCATCTCATTCCATCACTCCAAGTGAGAGTAGTAGTTAGGCGAAGCTCTGTAGCTCTACTACTTAGAAGTAAAAGATAGGGAGATAGTGAGGAGAAGCTTGGGGAGGAGCCAGAGCTGTCGGCATCCTCTCCACTTGTGCTTCGGCGGATGAAGCTCTTCTTCGAGTGAAATCCGGTATCTTCTCTGTGGTAACTCTGCTCTTTTGCATTACTTAAGTATTATTTATATTATTATGTTTACTAGTTTTACCGCTTGGTTAGGGTGCTCTGATCTGTTAGCTAGGATTAGAGTAGTGAGTTTATAGATTAAGCGTGGTGCTTAGTCTATAACTTTCCTGCGTTTGCGGCTAGGCCTCTAGATAAATTGTGGTAGGTGGCAGGTGATGACAGCCTTATCCATCCTCTCTATTCCACCACGATAGGTTATTAAATCGTAGGGCTCATGGCAGACCTTGTCTAGTTATCTCTACTAGGTTGCTAGGCGGGCTGTTCTCCGAAGTAAACAACTATGATATAGTCTTCTTAAGTCTTGCCTTAGTTCGTAGAAACACCAAATATCCTCTCTGAGCTTGTTCGGCAGGACTGAAAAATACTGTTTCGGCTGATTGTTGTGAGAGGAAAATACTGTTCTGGCAGGACGTGAATAGTGATTTTATGAGGTGGCTGGCCAGCCGGCAATCAGCCAGCCAGCCAGCCGAACACGGCCTCTACCTATTACTTTTACCCTTGGACACCCTTAGTTCTTAACTAGTCCACTTCGCGTTTCCCGTGAAAATTCGATACCTTAGAATACTCTTAGGTGAAAGCTACATTGACATCCGTGCGCTTACGGATTTATCTGTTTGCCCTATCTAGTGTCAACAGTCGCTGCCTCACGCGGCTCGCAAGGAGAGAGTGCGGCGCGGGGAGGGGTGGAATTGGTGGATTGGGAAAAGGAAGTTAGGGTTAGGGGCTAGCCACCGGGCCTTAGCAGGCCAGGGTGGTCGGGAGAGAGAGCGGCTCTTAGCAGGCCAGGCGGCCAGGGTGGTCACCGGGCCTCTCACCAAATTGCGGGTCGTCTTTGGGGCAGCCAGCGTGCACAAGCGCGTCCCTGTGCACGGTCCTCAGATACTGGTCAGTGCCAGTACAGGCCGCTCGCCCACCACAGCGGGCCGTGCTTTCGTCTGCCATTAAAAAAAAAAACTGGCTTCGTGCGGGCGTGGTCGTACCACGGGCTGCATGCCCATATATAGCAGTACTTAGCAGACAATTGCGCCTTGTCGCTATCAACGTGGAGCTAAACTATTTTGTATGGTTGGAGGAATGTGGAGACAGCTTTGCATTTTCTATATAACAAGATTTATAGATTTCTTAATATGTTTATGTGTCATAACTCATGTTTGTCGATGTAGTTGTACATAAAAATTTGTGATCCTGATGTAACGCACGAGCATATATCTAGTGAAATATATATATATATATTGAGGGGATAGTGAAATATATACGTGCCTTGTCGCGGTCGTGAAAAAGAAGTTGATTTCAAACTGAAAAAGTTTTCGGCCCATTAAAAATGCGGCCCGGGCGAGAATATCTTCTGTCCTCGAGCTAAAAAAATCTTTCGGCTCAGGCCCAGAAAACCCAGTGCTTAGCGTCTACTAGCTACACGTAAACGTAACATGAAAACGTAGATTACTATATAGCACTTTCGTTCTTTCGTGGGCGGGGGCAAAAGCCCAGCCGCGAAACTCTGGCCGCGAACTCTCTGGCATCTTCGTCCCGGCCTCGAGCCACCCACGTTCCTACACGTTCCACGGTCTCGAAGCTCAGCACCTCGTGACCACGAGCAGCCCTTCTCCGGCGGCGTCGCGGTGAGCCCAGCATGGCCATGCTCCTCCTCCGCCGACTCCCGCTGCTCCGCCTCCTCCGGCTGCTGCACACTGAATCGGCGGCTTCGACCTCCTCGTCCTCCACACCTCCCCCGCCTCTCCAGAAGCCTCACGCCACCGCCGTGGGGCCAGGATCACGCCGCCTGCGGTTCCCCAATGCCACGCCCGTCGAGTCGGTGCGGGGGGCTTCGAAATCGTCCTCCGCTGCCGCCTATCTCGCTATCGGCGCGGCCGCCGCGCTCGCTTCGCTGCCGGTGGCCTACGCAGACAGCAATGAGCAGGTTTTGTTCATTGGCTTCTCTATTGCTCAATTTTTTTTGTGCAATTCTGGGAGTGAGATTTGCATGATTTGAGCTTGCTTTGTGTTTGCAGGGCGCGTTCGACACAGCAGGGAGTGTTGATCCCGCGGATGGGGAGGATTTGGCCCGCAAGGAGAGGAAGAGGATATTGGAGCTTGTCCAGAGCCGAGGGATGCAGCGCGGGTCATACCCGCAGTTTGATGTTGCAGTGAAGGGCCAAAAGGTTGTTCTTTGCCCCCAAATTTTCTGGCAATATATATGTTTATTAGCATTTGAAAAATCGTCCCAATTTTGTGCTCCTATTTTCGTGAAATTAAGTACACTGTACACATTTTATGGTAGAAAGAAGAATTGTAGGAGGATTGGGCATGATTATGTGGCAAATGTAGAAACATGTGTGCTTATTTGAGTTAAGTGTGAGTATCAGTACATGAGTAAGTGCACTGCACATTTTATGGTAGAAAGAAGAATTGTAGGAGGATTGGGCATGATTATGTGGCAAATTTAGAAGCATGTGCGCTTATTTGAGTTAAGTGTGAGTATCAGTACATGAATACTGTGAGGTAGGAAGCTTTCAAAATTATGCATGGTTACTATTAGAGCACACCAGGGCTGGGCTGTTCTCTAGAAATGACATGCAATCTGACTATCAGTACCATAGCAAGTTAGAAGCATAGCTTATCTTTTCTGCTATCATTATCATTTATCAGTAGCAGCCATGTTTAATCATCACTCGATGATAACGACTATATTTCTCTGATTTGGTTTGTTTTTTGACCAGGTGGTTGTTAAATTCAACATGCCATCTACTTGCAATGTGTCACACCTTATCGTTGATCTTGTAACGCATATCGGACTTGAGGCAGAACAACTTGGTGGTGGCTCGGAGGTTCTAGTGTGTGCTTGGGACAGGTTAGGAAAGAAAGTATATTTCATGAGAAATGTATTATGCAATTACCTTTTACCATTCATGGCAAGCACAAATCACAAACAGAATAATTTCAGCTTTAATCTCCATGCATCGTCCTGTGGATTTATATGCTCTATGTATACTGGTTTTCAACTTCTGATAAACCACATATCTAGGCCTTCTGTTTATTCTTACATTAAAGAATGAATCAAATCTCCCCAAGTAGGATTCGAACCTACGACCAGTCAGTTAACAGCCGACCACTCTACCACTGAGCTACTGAGGAACAAGGGGAGATTCGACCTCCTAGAGTTCAACTCCCGCTCTCAACCCATGAATAATATGAGTCCGAAGCTTCTTTCATAACTCCCGGAATTTCTTCGTAGTGGCTCCATTCCATGCCTCATTTCATAGGGAAGCCCAAAGTGGCTCTATTTCATTCTATTTCACTTCCTAGCACTTCCTATCATTTAATATCCATCCCTTTGGTCTTATCTACTATACCTAAATAGGAGAACCCCATTAGCTGATTTTCCTGCGATCTCATGAAGCCACGTCACCATATAGGGCCCGCTTCTTCCCATCTTGGTCGATGCATCAATGACTACTTTGCCTCTTCTCCTTCCCAGTGCGGTAAACGCGGGCACCTATTCTTCTCTAGCATCTGAACGGACGAAATGCTCCAACTCACGATTAAATAAACAACCACTCACAGCCTCCTCAGTTGGTGTGGAAATGATTGCTTCATAAAACCGCCATGAGAAACTGAGTGGTCGGTTAGATTTATATAAGCTAGCAAGGTTCCTACGGCTCCATTCACCCTTTCATTCATCTGGCTCGTGGACCAGGTGCTGGCCTTCTCGATTGTGAGAGCCATGCCAGCCATCTCCCTTGGCGCCAGCTTTGTCGTGGTGGAGGGGCGGGGACCATCAGCACGTCGCAGCGGCGTGCCACCAGCAGCAGCAGTGGGAAGAGGTGAGGGCAAGGAGAAGCCTTGCTCGTGCTCAAGAGACGGCAGTGGCGGGGCAAGCGACGGGGGAAGAGTGGGGGTCAGAGGCCCGCACAGCACGAGCCAGCCTTGCGCTCCGCCCACATCCAGCCTCGCGCCCCTTCTGCGCACCGCGCGCTCCGCCGACATCTACGCCAAGGCTTCACACTGCTGTCCTGCGTGCCGCTTGGTGGCGCCACAGTTCCTCGTCCGCACCAACGCAATAGATGATAATTCTTTTTTTAAACTGCGAGATGGCGATTATTTCACATGAGGAAGGATAGACAGCGAGCAGTCTAAGGCATGGACGCATGGTAGTTCAATACTTCAATCATTTCTTCTATTTTCTTTTTTTTCATTCTTTTTAATTTTCAACTTTAATAGTATGTCAAAGTTGCGCCATGATCCAATAAAACACTACAAAGTTCCCGCAGCAACGCGCGGGGTATCATCTAGTTGACATAAGAGATGTCATTTATAGTGCACATTGTTAATTGGGTGACTGAAGAGGGTTCTATTAAATGATGTGATTCATTTTTGTTGATGAATTCTCCCATCCATACAAATCCCTAATCCCTGCATTTTTCTCTTTCCTACCCCCTTGATAATGTTTGCTCATGATAGTAGAATAGAAAATCATTCCCAGTTCTGAAAATTGCATTATAAGCTTCTTTAATAGAATATTTTACCCGCAAATGGCCTTTTTCGATTTCGATCCGTTGCATAGATAAGGGTTTCCCAAGTCTTATAGATGTATATGGTATACCAATATATTTTATTTACTCAAGTGCTTCTTTTCCAGTCCAGCTGCACGTCAAATCACACTGAACCCTCCCAAGAAGACTAGCACCGGGGATCACAATGAAGATGGTCTCTGTGTTCTGATATTTGAGCCACTTATCGGATCAGATTATTCTGTTAGTTATTTTCGACCCTTCATTGACGACTTCTGAAAGAAGTTTGTTCTGTTATTTCTCTTTATATCATGATTCTTTTTTCAGGAAATTGAATTCATCAAGTGTGGGAGTTTTAGTTTGAAAGAACTTGAGGCTTTGATCAGTGCTTTAAAAATTGCTGGTGAAAAAAATGTTAAGGGGTCATCAGGGAAAAACACACCAAGAAAAGGAAATGGTCAGAGATCTAAGCATGTACCCTCTTTGGAGAAAATTGTATCTGATTTAGAGGCTATGGGTGTTAGAGTCTATGGATTTGATGAAACATCAAGTGTTCCAATGGATGGCACTGTAATCTGGGAGAACCTTGCAGGATATGAACCTCAGAAAAGGCATGTGCCACCAGTTTGCTATTCCTTTCCTCTTTTTTACCAGCTTCTTAATGTACCATGAATTAGGATAACTGACAAATTTCCAATAACCAAAAGCAGCTGTGGTTTGCAGAAAAAAAATTCTAAAACATATTTTTTGAGAACAGTAAAGTTCAAATATTATCCAATTAAATATGTATATACATCTGTGTCTAATCAAAAGGAACATTTTGTTGACAGATATTTGTTTTTTGCTGACTTTTAGAGATGAAGCCCCAAATTCATTGTTGTTTATTTTGGCTTCCTGTCAGGGATTCCTATTAGTCTTATTACTTACTAGACAAATGATTTTTGTGTACTCCATTCTGAAATTGTTGTCTTTAAGCTTGAAAAGTGTTTCTTCTCCTAATATAGGGAAATAGAGGATACCATACTCTTAGCTTTACAGAGTCCTGAAGTGTATGATGACATTGCTCGTGGTACGCGCTGCAAATTTGAGACAAATAGACCTCGAGCTGTTCTTTTTGAGGGCCCACCTGGTGAGTTGCCTGAATCTCACCTTGATTAATGCCTAAAAGTAGGTTCTTGCGGTTATCTTGTATACTGTGCTGAGAGCTGCAGTAGAAGATAGCTTCATTGAGTTTATTTCACAATAAAGAAAGCTTACAAGGTTTGTTAATAACCCACTGAATATTTATACGAAGAAACCACAAGAGCACCTTGCAAGCAAGACCTGATGCTGGAAAACCCACATGTTCCTTTTTATGCACCACTAGCCTGATTGCTTGCACTCTCAGGTTGCTGTGTTCACACACTTACCATCTATCACTCATTATTTTAGGGACAGGCAAGACATCTTCAGCTCGAGTTATTGCCAAACAAGCAGTGAGTATTATATTTTTTGTATTGTCCCAAAGTAATGTTTGGATGAGCATTTCTTGAATATGATGAATATTTTATTCAGTTAGCCTTTGATTTCTTTTCTGCAAATTTATAGCTGATGCCAATTATCTTTTTAGTAGAATTAATTTGTTATTTGTCATTTCTTATATTAGGGAGTTCCACTACTATATGTGCCACTTGAGGTTGTTATGTCAAAATATTATGGTGAAAGCGGCGCCTATTGGGATCTGTTTTTCACTTGCAAATGATCTTCCTGAAGGAGGTATTATATTCCTAGATGAGGTATATATCGTAATCTTTGTAGCATACACGCTCAAGCCATTGCAAAATGTATTGAACATCGTGTGTGTATGTGTGCATGCGCGCGCTGTTATAGATGGATTCTTTTGCTATTGCTCGAGACAGCGAAATGCATGAAGCTACACGAAGAATCTTGTCAGTAATTCTGCGACAGGTAGGGTCCTTGTTTATTTTCCTTGTAGGGGAAAATAACCTTTGCTTATTACTACCTCCTGATTTGCACATTTTGTGTAGTCATTGGTCAAGAAGAGATCAAAAATAAAATTAGTTCTCTTGGTGAAGAATAATCCAATAAAATCACAGCACTTGTCAGTTGCCTTCCCTCCACAAGTCATTTTGTCCATTTGAGCAGCCATTAAAGTGTCTCTGTATCACGTTCCACTGGACAGAAATATCACTGTTCTTTGCTAATGTGTTGCATACGGCTATACTCATTCACCGGTGAATGTGGAGACCGGAATATTTCATATTCCTTAATCTGAAAAAAGTGCTGTGTGTTAAAGTTGATACCCCGCAGTTTCCTAACATACAACTGAACATGGTCTGCATTGATGGTTACTGCTGTCGGCATATGTGCACTTGGTCTCTTAACACAATGCTTATTGTTGTTAGTTCCACAAAGAACATCTTTCTAAGATACTAAATAGTATGTATGTTTTGTAGATCGATGGATTTGAGCAGGATAGACGGGTGGTAGTCATTGCTGCAACAAATAGAAAGGAGGACCTTGATCCTGCTCTCATCAGGTGCAGTTTTCTATTGGTGTGCCCTTTCTTTCCTTGCAAGCAGTCCCAAATAGTTTTGGCATGGCCAGCTGATTATTGTTCTCTTTCAAAAGCTCTGTTGTTGTTTCTTTTTTTCCTGTTTGCATATTTCCTAAGAGGCATAGATCTCAACGTTTAAGCTGCTAGCGAACCAATAGTTCAACATTGAACTAAACCGCATAACCTTGTGGCATTTCTAAAATTTGAGTTCTGACCAACTCGCTCATATTTCCCGTACATATTATTCTTGTAAAAGGTACCTCTAACTTATTTCTTTTTCTGGTGCACCATTGCAGCCGTTTTGATTCAATCATCTGCTTTGGCTTACCGGATCAGCAAACTCGTGTGGAAATAGCTGCACAGTATGCCAAGCACTTGACTAGATCAGAATTAGTTCAATTTTCATTGGCCACTCAAGAGTAAGTACTACAATTTGAACACAGGATTTAACATGTTTATGTTGCATTTGCAAGCCTGTACCATAAAATTGAATGGACACATAAAAGTCTTGATGGTTGATTACAGTTTTACAGATTCGTATCTACCCATATTCTTGGTTAGCTGGTGAGGATGCATATATACTGTGTGGCACCATATCTGGTGCAACCTGTGATTAGAGTTAGAGATGTCCAGAAAACCAGTACTAGTTTGCAGCTACTTCTGGCTTGTGCTCAGCCAGTATGGAATTCCAAGCCTAATCTCTTGAATTCAACCTTCACATCTGGTAGTGTCAATTTCTAAATTAACAGTACATCTGGTTATGAAGTTTTCCCAGTCTTGTTTAACTGGTGAAATTATGTGTTACTAAGAAAGATCTAATTAGCGACAGTCAAAAGAAAATGGGGATTTGTTGACAACTTGGATGTCAAAATTCAGATGTTTGTATAATTTTCGATAGATCAGTGCAATAGTTATGTCTTGTTTCATTATTATTTTTTACCTTTTATGTTCTTAGCCATTTAACGTTTTAACCATGGGAACTATATTATGGACGACTACTCAAAATAATGTTATGGAGTAGAGAATATCTTATGCATATGATTTGATGTTCTGACCATCCTGTAATTCCGAGTAACAGTACTATCAACTTGATTTATGGTAAATTGGGAATCGATGCACTTTTCTGAATTCAGTCGGCTACTCAAACTGTTCAATAATCATTTGAGACAACTGGTCCGTATGCAGTATGCAGTCGTTGAGTTCTGACTAGTTCTGAACATTGATTGCAGGATGTCAGGAAGAGATATCAGGGATGTGTGCCAACAAGCTGAAAGACACTGGGCGTCAAAGGTTTGGAAATTGGTCTGCAAAAGTTCCTTTTTTTTATGCTTTCTATGATTAGCGTTTCACCTTGCCATTTTGTATTTTTTTATTATAGTTAATAAGGGGGCAGGTCACAAAAGATGAGAAGGGAGAGCCGAGTCTTCCTCCAATTGACGAATACCTTTCCTGTGCTGAACAGAGACGGAAGTCCTTGCCTGATAGAACGAGACGGACATCCAGGTCCCCTGCCCTTAAGTTAGCATGAGTCTACTTACCAGTTTACCTTACATGCTCATATACTACCGAATGTAGTTCAAATGGGAATGTGTGTAGGCTTTGCTAAACAGTTTTTTTTATGCGACCTATGCCTAATACTTAGGAAATGTGACATCTATGATCTATCCAGTTTTTGACGGCAGCACACCTGAAATTTTGGAGAGGAAAGCTTAAGTGACAGATAAATGGCTTTCTTGTATTGTTTTCTAAACTAATGTACAGAGATTATCAACGCACAAGTGAATATCATGTTTATGTGCCAATGCCATCTCTTAACATGAACATTTGGTACATTTTGACAGACAGTAATTTTGACAGACAGAGTGCTTTTTCTGGTCGTTTTTTGCAGTCATTGCTCATATATCTTTATTTATAGTTTTATACATATTAGATTGGACATAAAGGTGATAGGTGTGGACTTGTCTCGAAAGTCATTCCTGGTGATCATCTTAATTTGGACTTGTGAGTTGCAAAAGGTCTACTGAAAAAAATAGGGAAACTCCAGCGTGTTCTTTTTATGATAAATCTATCATTATTTCTTGTGGCATCAAATTTCTTTATTGAGTACTAGTGGTGGTTATAGTTTCAAATGTTGGCAATTCTGGATCTAATAATGATTATGAAAACAAGCTCTTTGTTATAGAATAGGATAATGAAAAACTAGTCCCGGTTTAATGCTCTTACGAAGAGGCATCATCAGTCTACGATTACTCCAAACGACTAGCACATGCTACAAAACTATCCACCCTTCGTGAAGGTAAAAACTACACACTAAAAAGAGTTCCGTGAGCTCTGACCAAACCTCTCAAATCATTGCGAGTTTTAGGGCAGGGACGTTTCTTGTGTGTGTGTAAAAGAAGACAAACAAAATATAATCCATGGATTTGATGATCCCGTGCCATGAGTCAAGCCACACCGATGGAGCGTCCCCCACTGTCCCACACTAATCATGAGAAAGCAATTGCCTACCGGTCAGCGACTTAACACCACATTAGGTGACCGACCGACATGCAACCGGAATGATCCTGCATTCCTCGTTTCACCCGACTCAACCGTGTAATATCCTCCTATGATCCTGATCATCCTATCTTGCAATTGCAAGTGTTATTACTGCTTCCCCGGCAGCTGGTACCCGTGTAATTAAATCACAAGGCGACACCGGCTGCCCGGCCGGAACAGACGAAGACGACGGCACCCTTCTGCTACGCGCAATAAGCAGCGACGGCGACAGCTGTGTCCGCACGAGCTAGCCTCCGACGCAGGTCCCCCCAGCCCGACGCATGATCGGCGGCACTAGCATGACAAATGCTAATGATACTTGCGTCCACCGGCCCTCAACGCCGATTTGGCCAAAGACCGCAGTGCGGTCCCTGCCACGCGCGCCGAGTGTGCAGCGCGACCGAAAGAAACGGCCCATCCGCCCGGGGAGTCGGGAGAAACCCGCGGCTGAGGCGCGTGACCCCCGAGCGTCCAGGCCGGCCGGCAAGGAGGGCAGGGAGGAGGGACTGGTGCACGTCCGCGACGGGGTGCGTAGGGCACGCTCGTGGGGTTGACCCGTCCTTCTTTGGAGTAGCGGGCACGTCCCGATCGCCGCGCGGACACCGTCCACGCACGCACGCACGCTTCTTCCAAAGCTACTACACGCCTGCAGCCATCCGTGGTGGTGCCCCAGTGCCCAACGCCCGCGGCGCACGACTCTGCCCCGTGCCACCGTGCGGAGGCAGACGGTCCAGAACTCCAGATGCGCGGCGATCTTTCTCCGTTGTCGTGCTCTGGCTGCGGTCAGTGCGTCCAACAGAGCAGCGTGGCGTCTGGCGTGGGTGTGCGTCCGTGCCCGGGCGGGCTATGAATTCCGCGCCATTCATCGCTCGCGACCAAGGGTCACGAGCCGTGGCAGCGAAGCCTTCAATCCGCCGTGCTTTTGTCACGGGGTGGTGAAAGAGGCCGAGCGCACGTACAGAATGCATTCAAGTGCTTCCTCTCCTGGTTCCTGAACGTATTCGATTCGAATTTACGACCCGTCTGACGTGTGTAGTAAACGGGGTAACATGTCTGGCTCTACTTGGATGCCCACGTAGGTTTGCCTGCCTGCAAAGGGTTCATCTTGAATGGTTATTTTTTCCTACTAGAATATTTCGGTATTCTCGGTACAAATCAGGAAGTGATGTGTAAATGCTGAAATGCACAACAATACAAGTCTAATACTAGAAGTAATTATGGTTTGAGGTGTACTTCATTATGAGATCTGCATAAAATTAGTTAAGCTGTCTTTCATGCACTCCATCCTAGCTACTAGTAATAAGGAGTACAAAAGGTACCACTCCATTGAGTTGAGAGCAAGCAAAGGTGGCACGCTTAATCAGCACTAGGATACGCAGTTAATTAGCTTGTCCTACGCTACGCAGGCCAAGTAAAGTTCCCGGAGGGCTCAAGAAACAAAGACTTTTGTGTGCCTTTTCTGGTAGGGAACGCCAGCTACCTCTCATATTTCGCCTTAGCAAAAAGGATTTCAACGCTAGCCCTTGTTGCGGCAAGCCTCCGATCTCTGTCCGTACGCATGAATTAGGTGAACAGCACGCATCAACCTACCTACTGCGCCCAAGGACTTCCCCTCGATCTGTAATCTCTCATGAGCTCACCTAAGATCGAAGGTGAGATCAACATCAGTACACGGTAGCACGTACGACGTGTCCTAACAGCCACTAATGCTTCTCGTTGCATGCATTGTCGAAAAATGTACCTAGCTTGCGTTTACACACTGCAGTCTCTGTTTTTTTCTTTTCTGAATAGTTCTTGTGCACCTACACATCACAGTTATTATCTTTATTTATCAACGCTAGTTACGCTGGATACATGATGAACAGTTAGGCAGTGATCGCTCGACGCCTCGACTGCACAGCACACGGTGTGCTTTCAGCCTCCACGTACACGTCAGTCCAGCAGCTTCGGTTCGGAGAAGGCTGTCACGAGTACGATGTATCCCCAGGCACGCATCGTCTTGTAGGGTAGCACGTATAGGATCGCTGAACCTTGAATACTACGGGCCGGTGATGAAGCAGAGAAAAGCAAAACATGGCAGTAGGATGATGGATGTCCAATGTCTCAGCTCAGGCGGTAACACCTGGACCGACAGAGCATTGCTTGGCTCCTAAGCGTGTCGACTAGCAAAGGGTTGTTAGAGCCCTACTATCGCACAGCACAGCTGCATATCTCCATAATTCACAATCATCGACGACTCGGTTTCATTCTTTTTCCTATGCGCGACAAAACCATGACTAACACGGCTGCTTTTGACTAATTTACAAAGCTATGAAAAAATCTAATAAGGACAGGCGCCACAGGATCACGGACGCCGGTGAATGGATGTTTCCAAAGCTCCACCAGTGGTCCAGCGTGCATTATGGATACTACCAGTAGCAGTATCGGCGTCCACGAGAACGGGGACAAAATGAATTAATTTCCCGGACCAACAACCTGCGCCTCGTAGCCGATCGAGCATCTGCGGAAACTCGATGAAATCTCTTGAGATGTGCTAGTTTTTCTTGAAGTTTACAGCAAAAAACAAAAGGCCATCGATCACAGTGCCCCAACAAACCTCGGTGTGTAGTATAGAGTCGTAGCATATTGGTGGGGGGTGCTGTGGCTGTGGCACGGGTGATGATCGCTAGTGATTTTTCTTTTCCTTTCCGGTGGGCACATGGCTGGCGTGACGGACGGGAAGCAGGCACCCATGATAGTGCCTGCCGCCCGCGCATGGGGTGATACTAGAGAGGGGCCGGTAATCTATAACCCCCAACTACCCAATGGCCAACGATGCCTTTTTCTCCCTCCGTCCTTTGGCTCCCCTCGCCTGCGACATGGCATTGGCATGGCAGTCCGCTTCCGATGCCAAGGGACACAACGGCCATCAAGGGCCAACATGCCACCGGCCTGCCTCTGCCTCGGGGCTGCACTGCGATGACAGAGAGAGACTGCGTGCGAGTGCGAGTGCGAGTGCGAGTGCGAGGACTGTGGGACAGTGACTCAGCAGCCCTCTCTCGCCACCAAACAAGCTAGCGTCCGCGGTCAGAACCCATCACTCGGCAGACCTCTCTCGCTGCCATGTCCCCCTCCCCCTGCCATGCGTCATGCGTGAATTCAGGCACTGACCACTGAGCCATTTGGCAGTTGACACTTGACACCTACTCGTACGTTTCCTTCTGTTTCGTTTCACGTTTTTTTTAGATTATATATATGAAGCTCGTTTTGAATGAACACGGAAATGACAACAATGTACTACAGTACATATAGTTAGTGATTTGTTGGTGACTGAATTTGTTTTGACAGAAAATATGTCGCGAAGATATTCAATCATCAGCTTGCCGCATCCGCATGCAACGGAGTCGAACAAAGCTGTAGGTAGTGAGCATTTAAGCCAAGGAATTGTGGTCCTCGTACGTGTTGTTGATGCCGGGATGATACATTCGTTTCTTTCAGTACCCTCACGTGATGTACCATGCACTTTACAGTACTTAACCTCTTTATTATCATGCGGTGCTAACAGTGGGTTTTATGAGCTGTGCTAACAACCGCAGATGTACAGTGCCATCTTGGAACACATCGTAGCCTCTTTAGGCCAATGCATTGAGATTTAAGAATCATGATAGCTTGGGTGGTTATTAGAGATGGTTATTAGAGGTGTGTGTGTGTGTGTGAATAATACAAGTTGTGTTGTCGCACTCTTCTCTACCATAACACATAGCTTATTTATAATAAGGTGTTCCGATTGCTAGTCCAGTTAATAATTGGCAGAAGTAGTTGACTAAATAATTCAGGACCGATACATTAATTGACCATGTGCTTAAAACACCTTATGACTGTTGACAACAGCAACATCACGCTTATATGACCCGTCAATGGAGATTTTTTTTTAATTTTAACACTTTTTGAAAACTAATTTTAAATCTAACACTACCTTTTTTTTAAACTAACACTTTTGGCCGCGCCTAT